CTAAATTCCTTTATTTTCCCTCTTCCACTTCTGGATTTAGTTCTACCTAAAAGAGCCAATGGCCAATGTCCTGAGTTCTATGAACGTGACAGATGATGCCTAAAGCACCACCCAAAACCAAACCCAATGTTTTAGAGCGCTGTCCAGATGCTCCTTGAACTCCAGCACTCGGGGCCGTGCCCACAGCCCTGTGCATCGCGTTCCATGCCCACCGCCCTGTGGTGCAGCCCCTTTCCCTGAGCCCCAGCTGCCCTCCCCTGACACAGCTCCATGCCGTTCCCTCGGGCCCTGTCGCTGTCACACAGAGCAGAGCTCAGCGCTGCCCCTCCGCTCCCTGTGAGGAGCTGCAGCCGCCATCAGGCCTCCCCTCAGCTCCTCTGCTCTGCGCTGAGCAAACACAGGGGCCTCAGCTGCTCCTCACACGTGTATTTTCTTTAACCTCAGAATGAGCAAATTGTCAATGTTTTTTTTTCAATAGTAGCAACTCAAGGCACAGTTATCTGTTTAAGACTGCCAAGTCTGTAATGAGTAACCCAAAAAGCATGCCCTTAACTACAAGCACACACAGGGAGAGGAAAGTTTCACTTCCATGTTTCTACACCCTTCGATTGTAACACAAATATTTGCAGTCTGATCTGGTTTTAAAGAAATGTTATTTATAGCTAGGTTGTTCAAATTTCTAAGAATACTAGAGATGCACTTCATAAGAGAAATCTAGCATCTCACACAGATTATTTAACCATATGAATAATTATTTAGAAATAATTCTAGGTTGGATATGATGAAGTGGTTTTTATTCCACTACTTTACTCTTGAAAGACGTAGAATTAAAACTTTTAAGTAGGGCAACTGAAGGAAGATACTTGTGAGGCCATGTGAGGTCAAACGCACTTTAAATTGCAAAATGAAAACAGCTCATGTGCTACCAGAAAACTCATTATAACATCAGGTTTATATTATCTTCAGATACACTCTTAAGTATCTTACAGTCTTGAGACTCTACATTACAATCCTGCTCACAGACAGAATAAGGTTAGTTAGTGACACACAGTGCCTGGTTCCAGGTGTGCTGCTGGGTTCAAGGGAAAACAGTGAGCACCAAGCTTCACATTCAGATGTGCCAATTTACTCCCTCATAAGAAAATACTCAATGTCATGAAGACTGCAGTAGAATTTATATTCTTTTAGAACTGATTTCCAAAATGGCAGAAGTAGGAAGAACAAAACTAATTACATACCCTTGACAAGGAAATAAATATTGACTTATCAGCTGCTGAGTAACAGAAAAAAAAAATCCTACAAATAAACAGTGCAAGATTAAACTCACCTGTTATCAGATGCTCGAACAGACTAAGCTTTCACATCTCTTTAAAGCTAAGTGAATTAAGACTAAATAAGCGTTGTGGTGCAGACCCCTGGGCATTCTGTGGTCTCAGAGTATGCATCCACTATGTTTTTGCCTTTGTGCAAGTGCAGTGAGCTGGGACGTTCAGGCACTCCCTGACCTTGTTCCCTGAATTTTAGACTGACCTGAGTGGCATCAGGACTGTACAATCTGGGAGTACTGGAACTGCATGGTTGGGTGGAAGTTTCAGGGTTGTCTCACTTGGATTGCAGCCAGAATGGAAAGTTTTCTGACTCAATTACCTCACAGTCCTATAAATAATGGTCCTAAGCAAAGAGCCCTTTCAGCTCTCAGGATGGCAGCAGGCTGTGATCCTTGATATTACCTGGGCTGGAACCACTATCTGGCATCTAGAGATTCATTGCTGACAGACATCAACGAAGCAGAGCCCTCTTTGGTGCACACCCTGATCATCCACTAAGAGCTGGCAAGAGGGAAGGGTGAGTAGCTCACTGGTGTGGGGGTATGTCCTGAAGTTTAGAAATTGAATTTAGAAACATCCTTCTAGTACTCTTTAGTAAGTCACATGTGAAATATGCCATTCTTGAGCCTTCAAATAAGTCATTGTATTTGATTGTAGGAAATCCCATTGGATCATTGTGTTAAATTGGCTGATTAGGTGCCACTGGGAATCACACAAATTGGTCTCCCGATTTACCACAAAATAAATAATAAATAATAATTCCTAAATTGCTGCTAAGCCAGAGTTGACTGAAAATCTGTATGTACAAATTGGCATTGTTGGCAGGATGGCAAAGAGTATCATTGATTACTTACAGAGGCATGGTATGAAACTGAACCCCAGCTTCCAAGAAGAATGAACCCGGAATGATTGGTATGATAGGAAAGAAGCAGAGAATCAGCTGGATGCTGCAAGTGGTTCTATAGAGATAGGGAGATATTTGCAGAATGCTAGGTTTCTGTCTAGATGTTATCAAAAATTAAAAGAAGCAAGACCAAAAAATGGAAATAGGAGATAGGAACACAATTGAGTCATCATTATCTTTAAAGTTTAACAGCTACAAGAACAGCCACAAAAAAAAAGGGAAGAACTGCAAGACCTGAAGTAAGACTGCACAGTGGTCAGAAGGCATTAGATCTGCCCGTTCAAGCAAGAGCTTATCAGTAAACTAGTAATAATAGCCTATATTTATATATATGTGTGTGTGTGAATGCTACATATATATATATTTATAAATATATATATATTTATTTCTACTTTGTCCTTAAGTACTACTGGAAAACTTTTTCATAAGTACAAGAGCAAAAATGTTAACACAACCAGAAGCTGTGAAGCTGAATGTGTGATTCTGATGGCAGAGTTAAAATTATTAGTGTAAACAGAGCAAGTGTTGTGTGTTAAACTGCTAAAATTAATTTCTGGCTCCCAGATGAGAAGCACATACAGGCTACTTGCTTTGCAACCATAAATTGTCAAGAAAAATATTTCTGGTTTAGACGTTTCAAACATGACCACAGTACCTGTTCCTTTGGTTAAAATACTGAACCCAACCCTGGTAAAAATAGTGACGTATAGTGTGTACATTTTGCACAGTCCCTCTACTGCCTAATTCACAATTATTAATGCATCAACATTCAGTTTCTGTTGCAGCACAGGGTGGTTTTTCTAAAGTTATAGCAAATTTGGAAAAATAACACATTTTCTCTTTCATCCCCAACTGTTCATGCTGCACATGAAGAGATATATCAGAGAATCAAGAAGGATGGAGATTATTGATAGTGGGAAGTCCTGCTTGGATGGTCTCCTACAACAACGGAAGCACTAAACAGAATGCTGTATCTCATTGTGATTTTACTGCTTTTGGCTATATTTTGTTTATTGTTAACTACTGCTTTACATATCAAGGTCTGGAGAATGGCTAGACAAGCTGTGCTGCTGAAAGGAATTCCTTAAGTGTTCTACATCCCCTACATTTTCAACTTATATAATTGGTCATGTAAAAATAAAGAAATAAGCATTGTCCATTTATAGGCGCAAAGACAAGAGGTGACCACACCATCACTCCGATGGAAAGAAAGACTGACTTTAGTCAAGGGGTGGCCTGTAGTGGTGCAGAACACCTCCCATCTCTGGATAAGCCTCAACAGTGTTTTTGCCTTTGTGTAAGTGCAATGAGCTGGGACACTCGGGCACTCCTTGATTACACCTGAAATTCCTGCTCCTTGTATCGCGGTCTGATCAGAGAGGAGCCAAGACCATACAATCTGGGAGTACAGGAACTGTATGGCTGGGAGAAATTTGCAAGATTGCCTCAGTTGGATTGTGGCCTGAAGGAAAAGTTTTCTGACTAACATCAATTATCTCGGAGTCCTATAAATAATGTTACTAATCAAAGAGCCTCTTGAGCAGCCTGTGATCCTTGGTCTGGCTGGTTTCAGGGTAGGCATTTTGAGATTCACTTTTCACTGACACCACTGAAAGAGAGCCCTCTCTGGGGCAGATCCCAATTGTCCACTGAGAGCTGGTAAATGGAAAGGGTGAGTAGGTCAGTGGGGGGAAGAAAGTCCTCAAATAAGTAGCTGAGTTGAAAAATGTCCTCTCCAACACTCTACAATAAGTTTCATGTGAACCTTGCCATTCTCAAATATTTAACTAAATCATTGTATTTGATTGTAGTGAAATACATTGGATTACTGTGTTAAATTGGCCGATAATTTAAGTGCTGATTAAGTGCTGCTAAGAATCATACAATCTAATCTTGTGATTTATTGTAAAAGTATTAATAAATCCTAAATTACTGCTAAACTAGAGTTGACGAAAAATCTATTCACGGCGAGTTTGAATCCAATCTACTTAAGGCCTTCATGTTAGCATTTTTTGGTTGTCGTGCTATTACTGAGGTCAGCAACATATTTCTAAAATCTCTAATGAAACAAAAAAGAGAGAATGAACAGCATTCCTTGATCCAGCAATAAAATTACCCCACGCACAGCAACTTTCTGAATCTCTGTCCAAGCATTCACAATTTGTTCCCAGTACCTTTTAGAGCTATTCATTCATTTTCCACATCCACTTTCACTCAAAGTACATCTTGATTCTCTAAAGAATTCATATTGTTGTTATTACTTTTTAACCGATTGCAGAAAACTGCAATTGTTGAAATTTGCAGGCAAAGATGACAAAAGATGGATGTCATGGTTGAACTCCAGAGGGCTTCAAGTACGTTTCTAATAGATATTTAACTCAGTAAAGGTACTTTTTCTCAGTGGCTGGCTTATAAAACTGAGAAGAGCTTTTTCTGCGATCTTTCTGTTTGTCAAATGTAGAAACTTAATATCCCTGTGGGACAATGTTTGAGCTTTTCCCCGGAATTGAATTCAGAAGCAACAGCTGATTGAGTAAAATCAGCAGAATTGCTATAGCGAAAAAAAAAAACCTTACAAAATCCGTAAGCAAACAACCGCATCCCTTCACCCCAAATAATAAGCTGAAACAGACACATAAATGTTTCAAAGAAGAAAAACATCTGGTTTAAATTATGTCTTTAAAACATATCACAAGATCGTAAAAGCTTAACACACATAGGAATGCTAGAACTGCTTTTGTATATATATTTCTTTAAAATCTTCTTACCTCTCCCACAACTTCAATAATGTCACCAACTTTTAATTCCAGTTCATCCTCATTTTGAGGCAAATAACTGAAAGCCACCTGACATCTTCTTCGTCTGTTCCTCTCTCCTAGCGAAAATTAAGGAAATGAGAAAATCATGAGAAAATGAAAGGAAAATTTCATATCAAACACAAGCCATGCAAATTGATTCAAGATGAAAAATAATCATTATTATATGCAACATTATCAAAATAGCAAAATAATTTCAGCATTTGCAATACTTAAGTATATTAATCTAGAATTAATTTATCAAAAGATGGTGGAGGAAAGGTTTCTGAGATTATTTATTTCAACTATTTTTATAATCTGAATCAATTAATAATGCCTCATCTGAGTGAAAACAAATTGTGGTAACTTTTTTTTCTTTCTGTGATATTACTGAACAGTTAAAATTTAACAAATAGATTATAATTCCTCAGTGACAAAATGAGCAAACTTTATCCAGAGGATCTTTTTTAGGTGCATTTGCTAAAATTGAGATTCTTGGCTAATGCTCTATACAAATGGTGCAGGCAGCTCCAGAAACTGAATAGGTAGGGGAGAGGCTGCAAAACTTTGTGTGGCTTTTGTTCTTACAGAAACACTGGCTCAACAGATTGCTTCATCTTGTATCTTTAGTTTTCCATAATTCCCTCACAGGTATACCCATATCCAATGAACCTTTTTTTTTTTTTTTTAAAAAAAAAAAAACATATTTCTTTTTATACAGATATAAACATATGTATGCATGTATATGTATTTATATGCACATTTTTAAACTGCACATTCATGAATTAATATTGTCATAGAATCATAGAATTACTTGGACCGGAAGGGACCTCAAAGATCATCTAGTTCCAATTCCCCTGCTGTGAACAGGGTTGCCAACCATATTAAACTGCCCAGAAACCCATCAAGTCTGGCCTTGAACATCTCCATGAATGGGGCATCCACAACTTCTCTGGGCAGCTTGTGCCAGTGCCTCACCACCCTCTGAGTAAAGAATTCCAGATGTTTTCCACAAGGAAAGCTCATCCCAAAGCTTCCTTTCCCCCTGAAGAAGGGTTAGTGTGTTAAGGTAGGTCAATATTGATAGTCAACCAGCCACTGGAAACGACAGTATCTGCCAGATTTCTCTCCAGATTAGATGTCCAGGCTCCTGTGAGAAATTGGTATGCGCCTTTGGATGGAAGGCTGCAAACAGGCTTAAATTCATACTCTGAATAAGTATTAAGACCCTTGATTTGACACTTATGCCATCACAGTTTGAAGACATAAGTGAAAAGATCGCTTTCATAATACTATTTGCCAAATCCACTGGCATATACTTAAGTTATAGTTGTATGACTTGTAGCAAAGTGGAGACATACTGGAAAGAGTTCAACATACAATCATAAAGATATTTAAGGGACGGAAGCATCTTTTCTGTCAGGAGAAGCTGTGAGAGCTGGGACTCTTCAGCCTGGATAAGAGGAGACTCTATGGGACCTAATGAACGTGTATAAATACTTCAAAGGAGGATTCACAGAGGATGGATCCAGGCTTTTTTTAGTGATGCCCAGAGCAAGGACAGAGGCAACGGGCATAAACTGAACACAGGAGGTTCCCTCTGAACACCAGGCAGCACTTCTGAGATGTACAAGTGATAAAGCACCAACACAGGCTGCCCAGGGGCTGTGCAGTCTCCTCTTTGGAGATCTCCAAGAGCCGCCCTGCTGTGGGCCTGACACGTGGGCCTTTGACTAAGTGCACTACGACAGTAGTTTTCACAGTTTCTGAATTTCAGGATGAGTGGCAAGTTTTGAATAATAAAATTAAACACAGAATCATAGAATTCTTAGACTTGGAAGGGACATTTAAAAGTCATCTAGTCCAACTCCCAATAATAACAGCATAACGCAATATAACCCAACTTGCTCAAACTGGCTTTTCTTCTCCACCTACAGAACACTGATTATCCTTCACCGTCTAAACTAAAACGGACCTAAATCGACAACTTTACACAGCCACACTCAGAATAACGTAAATAAAATAAATACCTTCCATATCCAGTGCTTTTGTTACGCAAAAGAAAGAAGGCAGCTACTTTTCCTGAAGATAACATTCCCACTTTGATTTCTAACATCAAGCAAGAACCGTTGCCTGATGTGACAGATGTCAGTTGGCATACTATTTAATAATCAATACTGTGTCACTCTTGGAGAATACTTTTGAGCTCGCTAAGAGCAAGAAATAAACAGTTCTGGAAGTTAATAACAGAACTGCACGAATCCTTCACCTTCCCAACCCGTAATTTTTTTTTATTACTGCTACAGAGAATCTTGATAAAGTCTGCACTTATCCGTTAATCTCTTGCTGTCTCTCTGCTCTCCCATTCTTCCTGAATATTTCTTTAAAGAAATAGCTAAGTTGAAAGTAGCACACCACCAAGAGGCTTAAATACCAACCATCTCCTCTCTTTGGTCTAAAGCAAGACACAACACATCCAGTAGCGAATACCTTTGGGTTTAAGGAGAATTTGCTGTTGGGGACCGTGTGCCTGCTAACATTTGGGCACTGCAGTTCTTGAACAGTGCAGGAAATGGATGAAGAATCTCTACAGCAAAGAGTCATCTGTTTTTATTTACACTAAAGCAAAACCAATAAAGGGATGAGTTTTCTAAGAAAACAGAGCTGATAGGAAAAGAGAGAAGACTGAAGAAACAGTGGAAATATAAAAAAATGTTAGTAAAGAAAAACTCCTTTTTTTGCAAATATACTATTCTCAGCCCAGCACCACAGATTTTCTGTGTGCTTTTTTCTTAACTAGCACAAAGTCTCCAAAGGCAGCATGCTGAGGAAGCACAAAGGGCCAACAGGGACAGCTAATAGGCAGCTCAGACTGAAAAACTGAAGTCTCAGTCTTCTCTTGGCGTTTTCCCTTCTGCTAATATTGCCACTTATTGCAGAGCACGTTACAGTTTAGTTTAAACTGTTAATCATCTAAGATCTAAATGATGCACTATAACTTTGAAGTGTAAGAAATGTGATAAACATAAATTGATTTTAAACCATATCGGGCAGTAAATCTGCAATGAAGATTGTAGATATTTTCTAGTCTTACTTGTGGTTTTTTTTTCTGACTTTTAAATTAATGAAGATTTTTGCATCTTTCTCCATGTTAGAGAATAAACTGAGTTACTTGGTAGTGAAAAGTTATTGACTGGCGAGAAGGCAGGTAATAAATCTAGTACTTTAAAAATCAGGAAAGGTTGTTGCAAAGTCATCAAGGGCTTTTAGAAACTTTAAAAGAAACAATAGAAAAAAGTTCAGTAAACTTTTACTGGCGAAATTTAACAATTTGTAGCAAGTAACCTGCTGCAGGCAAACACCACACTGTGCTCTTCCTGCTGGTTGCAGTTCTAAACTTTTTAATTTCCTAACTGTAGCTCAACATCAAAAGTGTTTGGAAAGTTAAATGTCTAAGAGTTGCAGTTGGGAACTGTTTGGAACAAGCAGCCATACAGAAATAACATCTCTCTCCCTGTTGAAAAATGTCGGCTTTCATTTACACGGTTATAATAAACCTTGAAGAAAAAACATGCACATGCCTAATTTTTGCAGTCTGTTCTTAAAATACATTATGCAGCTACAGAAGAACTTGTTGCAAAGCATACTGCATCTGAAGCAAAGACACCAAGAGCTGACCACTGCAAAGCTGGTTGGGGTTTTGTTCCACTCCTTCTACAGCTGTGTTGAAGCCACTGAACCTGGCATTGTGTAGGTCTACCAAGGGAGGAAAAAAATGCACCTTGGATACACTGCAAAAGCTGCAGTGTGGTTGTCTGCCTCGTTTGCAGCTGCTAATTGTCAGCTCCTGGTCACCCTACCTGTGGTTACTGTCCCTCTGTTCTGAGAAGTTATCAGCCTCTCTAATTATTCCCCAGAGAGTTTCACTCTGAGCAAAACCTGATAGCTTAGAAGTGTAAGCACTAGACTTAAAGTTGCTCCATTTTTCCTTTATTTTAAGATTCGCATAGCTGTACCTGAGGTGGATGTCTCAATCTGAGCCCATCACTGAGGAGCAGAGAGATCCTAATACCTCCAGAGGGCAGTTAGTGTCACTGTAAAACAGATGACTAAAACATATCAGATGAACTCTCCGGAGAGGCCTTTTTCTACTGGTGTGGTGAGATGAGGCCTCAGCTTGACCTTTAAAATGTCTAAAGCCAGGCCAAATGGAAAAAAGAACGAACACACATTTAAAAACTTTGAAGGAACAAATCTTTTCAAAGTGATGTTTGATCACGTTATAAAAACAGTGTGGTCGTCTCTAGTAGCAAGATACTGGGCCTTGATTCAAAAGAGCCTCCTCCAGTTGAGTGCATGCAGCAGTGGTTTCCAGAGAGCCTGCTGCTTACTGATGCCAATGCCTTTGTGCCTGTGCTATTAGTGTCAGTGAAAACCACATGGTGACTGTCACTAGCAGGTCCATCAACTGCACAAACCTCATTTATTCTATGATAAGAGAACAAGCTCAGCAACCTGTTCTGTGAAATTGCCACAAGAAGCAAAAAACTACAGGAAAAAAAAAAAACAAAAAAACAGAACACACCCATGGAGCAAATGTCTGTATCTCTCCTTGACAAAACGTCAACCTAAATGGTTTATAGTCCTTCAAAACTAGGCCACAGAGTTTTGTAATTGAATCTGTTTTGAAAAGACACATATTGACACCGCTGCAGCTCAGACAATCCAACTGAATTGCTCCTGCATTTCCTTTTATTTTAAAGGTGTGTTGCTATGGAAATCGCATGGGTTATGTTGGGGACTGAGAGGCTCGAGTCAAGATTTGTTGTGTGTGGAGCCTAAAGATATTTCAGCCAAATCTAAATACTCCAAATAAAGTAAAGCACATCGCAGCCCCTGCAGGCCAATACACTCCTCTCTGCCCTGGGCTTGCTGAGCAGGCATGGGGGAACCATTGGGGGAAACATACCCAGTGAGCCATATGTAAAGCAGATGCAAGGTAATTGAACTCAGTACATCTGCGTGAGAAAGAAGCCCCTTTCTAGCAGGTCTATTGTGAGGAAAATGACAAGTTTGAGGA